GTACAGCAGGAAATTATACACACACACACACACACACACACACAATTTATTTATTTATTTTTATAAGGCTATGTGAAAATATCCTGAAATGTAATGTAAAAGACCAACACTGGGGATTGCTAATTTGGACTGTAATTATATTGATATAATCAGAGAATAGAGAAAAGTTTGGTTCCATTGAAATTTTACTACTTGAAAAATAGGGTCATTTGATTCAATTCACTTTAGGTGTGAGGTATTTTATCTTGGAAATATAGCTTTGGATAAATCTGAACCTTTATTCTCATTAATTTGCATGGAGAAATAGTTTAAAATAAAGCTTGATAGTAATGGATGAAGTTCCCCTACCTTGTATAAATGAAGACTGTCAGATTTGTGCATAGATTTCTGCACTGGGTGCTCTTAGAATTTTTTTTCTAAATAACATTAAGATTCTAGCTCATTGTCTATATATGTGTGGGTATGAACACACCCACACATATACAGTATGTACAATTTTTGAGACAATGGAAGGATAGCAATCAATTATTTAAAAAAACTATAAGAGATGAAGCATGCAAGGAATAATGTCTGTTTGTAAATGTTTCAATATTTATCAGCTTATCGTCATTTGGCTTTTGGCTATAATGAGAATAATCATCCTGCTTACAATCTGCCATTTTAGTGGCTTTAACTGTACAAGTCCATAAGTTTTAATATACCTCTTTCTGAATTGTGACCCTTTACAATACATGTTTAAGTTAACTGAGACAACAATGACTACTAGTTCCTTATATATGTACCCCTTTCCCAGGTTATATATTCTATTTAAGATCAAAGACACATGGATAAGTTTACATATTTCCTTTCTGAAGTCAGAAGACAGATGCAAGACAATAGCATCCAAATAAGAAGAAAACCAAAGCTCAAACTGGCCCAAAAAGTGTTGATTACTCTTTTCTAATGCCTTGTTTTAATTAATTAAATGGAACAGAGAAAAAAAAATAAACAGTAAAGCAATGTGTGTCTATACATGTATATACTGTTTTACACATCAGGCTCATTAAACTATTAGCATATTTTATTGTAATTGTCCATCTATAATCTATACCTGTAGCCTCAAGTAACATCAGGCCTTCAATTCACAAGTCTCAAGTAACATCAGGTCTTTAATTCACTAGGTAATTGTGAACATAAGTTT